TAGAAGTTAAAACTCAAAAGTCTGAAATTACTTTCCTTCTTGATAAAGAGAATTTTCATCTCTTACAAAATTTTACCTGGTGTTATCATAAAAAGAAAAATAGAAACACATATTATATTTCAACAAAAGATAAAAATCAAAATTATATATATAAAAATTTACATCGTTTAATTTATCCTAAATGGAAAATGATTGATCATATAAACAGGAATGGTTTTGACAATCGAAAATGTAATCTTCGAGAATCAACACCAAGTAAAAATCATAGAAATTGTAAATTGTGAAAAAATAATACTTCAGGTTATAATGGTATTAGTTATAACAAAACACTTAAAGCTTGAATATTTTTTTGGCGTAAAAATAATAAACTAAAAACTAAACAATTTAAAATTATAAAAACTAGAATATCAGAACAAGCCAAACAAATGGCAATAGAATTTAAATTAGTTCATAATAAAATTATTGGTAATATGAATAGATATTCAATCAAATATTAAATTTAGATTACAAAAAAGCTAGTTTGTAAACAGGTTTAAAAATTTTGATTTAAGCTAGTTCTCCATGTGAGTTTTCCTTGATTCTTGTTTTGAAAATTTTTAGCTTTTTAAATTCTAACAGAAAAAAAATTAGTAATAAAAAAAAATAGAATTTTTAATCATTATCATGTATTTAATTTTTCTAAATTAAGAAATATTATTTTTTTTAAGGAAAAATTTAATCAGGTGTAATTGTAACTTGAGTATGAATAGTATCTTTAATTAATTCTTTAATAAAAAAATTTATACTATTATTTTTGTAAACAAGTTTTTGTTCGTGAAAAATCTTTATCCCCAAAATTTGTGGTGGTAAAACAATAAAACTAGTTTCTTCGTAATTTGTTTTTTCTTGTGAAGTTATTACAAATGAATAACCCTTATCTTTAGCTTCTTGTATTGTGATTGGTGCATCTTTATCTTTTTTATAAATTAAAATTCTTATCCTTGTAGATTGTGTATCTTTAGTTTTTGTGAATGAGAAATTATATTCAGTATTTTTAATCAAATGACAAATGTTTAAAAAACAAGTTTCCATTTTTAAAAGTTATTAATTTTTATTATCATGGTCTTTTATAGTTTTTTTTATCTATATAAAGACTTTACAAATTTACAAATTCGTCAGATTAAAATCTATCAAAATTTACAATTCTATACAAACTTATATAATTTACAAAATGTCTTTTATTAAAAACTTTGTTAAAAAAATTAAATCAATTTTTAAAAAACAAATAAAAATTAAAGATGAATGGTCTGATATTATTCAAGATGATAAAACTTGGTCGTCTTGTTCGAATATCAATAAAGAAGATTATAAAAACTCCTTACCAACAGTTGAAGAAGAAAAACAATTTATTATAAATGATGAAGAACAATTTTCTATACTACATTTAAATTTTTATACAAGATACAAAGACTATCAAGAAGTGGTAAGGAATGAGGAACCAGAAATATATGAAAAATTAAAAAGCTGGTTTAGTTATTTTGAA